GGCGCCTCTGCACTCCTGAAGCAGAGACAAAAGCCCAGAACCTCCACCTGGGGCTTGTCTGTACTCACAGGAAACAAGTGTCTGGCTCAGTGTCTCCCCCCTCCCCACTCCCCAGGAGGCTCTTCGGAAAGGAAGTGAGGACTTCCTCCTGCCTCTGAACCTCCCCAAGGCTCAGCTCTAGATCTCACCCAGCCCAACCCACCCGCAGGGGCGGTACCCACGCACAGGAACCTCTATCTCCCCAGCACCCCCACTGCTCCCAGGCCTTGGGGGTGGGGAGTTGCCTACTAACCAGCAGGGTCCTGAGGAGGGTGGGTACTAGGTGGGTACTAGGTCAGTATATTTTGAAACACTTTCATGGGGGCAGGAGTGCTGTAAGCCAGCTCCCACAGTATCACTTAGCAATTAATCACGCACTGCCACTGTTCTTGTCCAGGCTGCAACAAGCCTGCAGCAGCTAACTTTCCAAGACTGTCCTGTCTTCCCCACAGGCAATGCCCTGTAAGGACAGGGCCCCCCAGTCCTCCCACACACTCCGAGCCCAGTGCCTGGATTAAGAGATGCTTGGCCATGGGCAAAGAAGCCAAGGAGCCGGTGATGTCAGCTCTGCGGGTAAAAGAGAAGCATCCTGAGGCCTGTTAAGTTTGTTCCTCGGTCCCCTCCCCAAGAGACATCCAAACCTGTTTCCGACCAATATGGGCACTTTTTAAGTGCTTGGTGCAGACAGCCTCTCTCACACCACTCTGTGTCCAGGCAGGTCCCCCCCCCCACCCCCTTCTGAACTTGAAAAGAGATTCTCAAAGGGGCCTAGGACCCTCACAGGGGCGGGGAGAGGATATGTAGATGGGGCCACAAATCACAGCCTAAGCCCACGGAAACCTCTGACCTCAAGCGCCCGGGGAGCCCCTCTCTACATCACAAAACTGCTTCAGGACGGCAGACCACGGGCCACGCGCCCAGGCCTAGCAGTGCAGAGTGGGGGTCTCCCGAGCCCCAGCCGAGAGAAATCTCGGGAGAGGGCTTAGTAAGCGCGGTCTCCTTCACCATCCGAGATCCCGCCTCCCCCTGGGCACCCGCGAAGACGTGCACTTGGGGAATGGGGGAGTGAGTGGTCCCAGCACCGCGGCTAGGGGTGCTAGGGGCTGGGGTAGGGGGGGGTGCTCGGGGCTGGGGTAGGGGGGTGCTCCTGGGTCTGCCCTGCCCTCGCCAGCTCGGTCGCGTCCATACCTGCCTGCCCGCGGCTCCGGGGGGCATTCGCGCTCCGGCAGCCCGCGCGCTGCGCCCGAATTGCGG